GGTAAAAAACACCAGCCATGTGCGATGGCTCACATCTGTGATCCCAGCACTTTAGGAGGCCGAGGGAGGCAGGTCATGAGATCAGGAGTTTGAGAGCAGGCTGGCCAACATGGTGAAACCCTGTCTCTGCTAAAATACAAAAATTAGCCAAGCATGGTGGCACATGCCTGTAGTCACAGTTACTTGGGAGACTGAGGCAGAAGAATTGACTGAACCTGGGAGGCAGAGGTTGCAGCGAGCTAACATTGCACCACTGTGCTCCAGCTTGGGAAACAGAATGAGACTCCATGTCAGAAACAAAACAAAACCAGTTTAATGCTTTCCTCTCCTTTGGTATTGCAGAGGCATAACCATAGCCTAACAGAATCTCAGACTTTGTGAGGCATCTTAGCCTTTTGGTTACAATAAATGAGTAATTAGACACTCAAGAAAATGTATTTTCTTGACAGAAATCATCTCCAGAGGATGGTTTAATCCTTAATGACTGACATAAAATTCTCTAGATGTGTTGAACTGTGAACGGTCAGTCCAGCAAAACACTATTAGGTACATACATATTTCATATATAGATGAAAAGCATCAAGAACTCCCAAAATATTCATGACGGAAACAGGTTTTATGCCTCACCCCCTGATGCAAAATATGTGAAATAGTGTGCTCCTTAGAGAAGGGAAACAGCCTTTCATTCTTACTGTCATTAGTTAGAAAATTGTTTTTATTTTAGATGGATGGTTGCATTTGCCATGTGGGAACAAATTCTTCAGGTCCTTGATCAATCACTTGTCCAAATAGGAAAATTGTAATCCCTCTCCTACTGATGCATGCTCTAGAACAAAGGGTCATTTTTATGTAACAGGTAAGGCTAATAAATTGTACCTTCACAGAAAACATTCTGTGGAAAGGGGAGTGCATTTATAGTAAGCCAAAGGTACCTTGGGGGACTGGGATGTTCAGTCCTAATGTTCAGGTTATTTACCAGCAAAATAGTTTTAGACTCTTTTGTCTGATGAGAAATTCACAAGAGAAAAATTCAATAGTGTACTACCAGACTCTGACTGAAAACATACTTCCCCTTATGTATTTCTTCTCTAAATCCATCTTCAAAGAAATGGGAATGTACTCAAAAGAAACCAAGAAATCTGTAATAAAAGGGGAAGATTATGAAGTTACCTGGGGATGTGGCTAAGCCTACAGAGTATTTAAATATCAAAAGAAAGTACAATTTGATTTCTGTTTTTGTTCAAATGGTGTCTAGGAAAATCCACAGAATTAAGGAGTTTTGTCTTTTTCCCAACTAGTAAGTATCCTTACTACACAGACAAGATGTCATTTCTTCCTTGTAGCTGAGTTTTCCAATTTTGTGTTTTTAAAAACTTAGAGGAAGTAATGCTGAGACAGGCTTCAAATGTTGCATTCTAGGTTTTGCTGTTCTTTTGTTAGTTGGATGGTTGGCTTTCTGGTTACTTTTACTGTTGTTACCTGACTCTAGGTTTCAAAACCAACGGAAAAATACCTATTCATTAGTCAACCAGCTGAAATCAGAAGATAGATTTATTCATAGACAGTTTTCTTTTTCCAGTTGAGTTAGCCCTTGGCCAGCAATAGCTTAGAATTCAAGTTTCAGTTCAACTGCGAAAGCGTTTTAAAAGTATGATTAAAACTATCTCTAAAGGCTGTATTTGGGGGGTTGGGAGCTGGGGAGGGATAACATGGGGAGAAATGTCAGATATAGGTGATGGGGATGGAGGCAGCAAACCACATTGCTATGTATGTACCTATGCAACAATCTTGCATGTTCTTCACATGTACCCCAAAATCTAAAATGCAATTATATATATATAGTCAGTTGATTATATATTTAAAAAAAAAGAAAAAATGTCAGTACTCTGAAAATGCCTCAAATTTTAAAAAATGATCAATCAGTGTAGTGTGCTCTAAAACTCTTAATACAACATAAATGGTGACCTAGAATACTATATGAGCTCAAGTAGACTTTTCATTATCACTTTGTTTTTTGCAACTGAAAAACTCTGGCATCTAGATACATAATAGGAGAGGGCAAAAACAAATGTAATTCTGATAAACAACTTCTGTTTCTGATTCACTCAATTACAAATATGTATTGAGTTTCTACCATGCATCAAGAACTTCTTATAAGGCAGTAATGACAGATATGATTCCTCTTTTCAAAATTTCAATTTGTAAATCCTAAAATAGAATTCAAGTGCACCTCTATGCTGTTGCATTCTATTCTCTCTCCTGAATGTAATTACAGATTACAGTTATACTAATATATAATATAAAATGAGTACATGCATTTTTTAATAAAACAATAATTTCTGATAACTAATAATATAATTAATAATAACTAATAAACAATATTTGCATTCATAAAAATCTCTATTGGCACAATAGAGATTGTATCTATGTTGGTAGTAATTTCCTTAGGATAGATCAGATTGTCAACAGATTTTTTTTTTCTTCTGGCAAAGTAATGGAAAATTCTATACTGCCAAAGCAAAAATTGTGCCCAGTTAATTAGACAAGGGAATTTTCATTAAGGCTACTGCAAAAGGGAGAAGATCAGACGGGGCTTTATTTTTTTCTTAAATATATCTCAAAGGAGCAGAGATAGAATTTACAATTATAAGTTTTCTAAAGTAAATGCTCTAAGGGAAAGGAGGTCAGAGGCCTGTGGGTTTAGGCCATTTGGAATATGCAAGGGCTAGGAGGAGAGGGATGTCAGGGGATAGAAGCAGAAAGAAGTCTGTCTCAAGTTTTGCCAAGCTGGGAAAAACATTAGAATTGTCACAATAAGTATTCAGTACTAAAAGAAACATGCCATACATAAAAATATCAGTATCAAATCAAATGTATAGCCACAAGTACATATAATCTACCCGTTGTCACTGAAGTATAATGCTCAATGAATCGCAAAACCTAAGGTATTCTTTCTCTTTATATCTATCTGCCTTGTTTTCATTCCTTTGACCAGTGAATCTATGACCCTCATGCCCTCATGCCAAATCCTGACCAAATCCTGAGTTTCTGCTTTTTAAAATAAAGTTTTATCAGCATACAGCCATTTCTATTTATTTGTTAATATCTATGGCTGCTTTGTACTAGTGCTGCAGAGCTGAGGAGGGTAACAGAGACTGGTACAGCTATAAAATATTTACTATCTGGCCCCTCACAGAAAAAAAATTGCCAACCCGTACTTTAGACAGTTATCTAGTGTGTACAGGAGTTTTGCCATTCCTGAGTTTTATAAACACAATAAGACTCAATTTACCTGCAGGTCACTTGCTACCAAATAAATATCCAAAATATTTAAAAAAATAATATTGATCTTTTCCTTAGGATGAGAGGCAAGAATTACCATATTACACAATACAATAAAATAAGAAAGGGCTAATTATCCTCTTTTCAACTATCTATGTGATACACATTTACCGTTTTACTGTATTAACATGACTGTGTTTCCTAGAACACAGAAAACATGGAAATGAACGAATCTAACATTACCTCACAGAGATATTTTAGAATAAATTTAACTCGATCTTTTCTTTTAATGGAATTCTATCCAGAAGCAGGTTGTTTTGAATTTTTAATCTACCTTTCTTTAGGCAGAACAGTTCATTTCTCTTAGACTGTTCATCACAGTTGCATTTTAATTGTGCTATAACCTTATACCAGGTGTTCTGAATTATAGCCTTTGGCATGGGATGCAACAGATGTTAAAGTCATGGACTCCCTTACGGTTGTTCAATTATAAAGCAAGTTCCTTCCAAAGTAGTGAGCTTCCTGTTACTTGATGTAGACAAACAAAGGGATGATGACTATCAGTCAGGGATCCAATAACAAAGTTTCTAGATTTGAGAAGGAGGTTCAGTCGGGTGATCTCTGTTTTTTTTTTTTTCTTTTCTATATGTAAGAATCTGCGTATCTTTATTATTTAGCATGAGGACATTCTATGTACTGAAAAAGCATGCACAATTTCTCTATCAGTAATTACCATTCATTCTTACATTATGTTGTTCTAGAATTATGCTTAGAGATTAAGGGCTACGAGCAGTAGGCTTTGAAAAGGAACACTGATTTTTGCCCAGTCTTCATTCTTCATTAAGATAGTTGAAACTGGCTGATTATCTGAACCAGTATCTACTCAGTTCACATGAAAATGTGATCTCATTGTTAATTCAAAAAAAGTCATCTAATGTATGCATATAAATGATTTACATATTACATATGGTATGTATCTGAACCACATTCAACTATAAACTTAGACCAGGTGCCAAAAAGTAAACTATGGGGAAATAATGAATACTTCTATTCATTAGTAAACCTTTACTGAAATTCAATTCTAAATCCTTATTGAAATTATAAGTGTCAGTCAATTCTGTAGCATCACATTTTTTATAGTGTTTGAGTACTATGAGTGCTAAATAAATCTTTAACTGAATTAGCAGTAGTGATATATTTATATCACTATAATATATAGTCTAATATTTGGAACAAGACACCATAATAGCTCTGGACATGTCTCTCTCATGAATAGGCTTTGTGACCTTGGACAAACCAAGGCTTTAGTTATCTCAAATATTGAATAAGTCATTGGCTCTCAAACTTTGCAGTATATGAGAATCACCTGGAAGACTTGTTAAACCACAGGTTGCTGGATTCCACCCTCAGAGTTTCTGATTCAGGAAGTCTGGGATGGGGTGGATAAGTTGCATTGCTAAGTTGCCAGGTGATGCTGACACTATTTGTCAAGGAACCACACTTGGAGAACAAAACCAGGATTGGAGGATGGTGGTAGTGATTGCCAAATAATTAATAATTTATAGCTGTAATAGAAAGTAGTCAGCATCAAACAAGCACAGTGAAATGTAATCATCTTTTTAATCAGTTTCTTTCGAATTAGAAGGGAGATGAATGTTCTTTTCTTTCTTTATATTTTAACAGAGCTATTGACCATGTAAATGTTTTGTAGTACTTACGTCATAGCTTGATAAATGGATTCAATTCCATAACGCATAGCAAATTCGTCGACTATTTCTTGGGAAGCATCATCAAAAAAAACCTTCCAGGCTTCATCCCCTTTGACATCCGGGATTTTCACTCCACCATTAGCTTTCACTTCAGTCAAGTAATGGAACAGATTCTAAAAGCAAGTAGTTTTTAATTGTTCAGTGATTCCTCAGAATAGGCCAGAAATATTTAATTAAAACTTTCAGTAAAATGCACTTGCACTGTCATTGCCTCTAATGTTTCATCAGCATAATGGGAACACCTTGAATTTTTGTTCGAACTCAATTCATCTTTTATTCAAAATCTGTTTTGATTTCTGCCTGAATAAAAGCACTGATGTAAATATTCGAAGGAAGGACATAGTTTAATATCTGGGACAAAATGCCATAGTAGTCCTGGATGTATCTCTGACAGTAACAGGCTTTGTAACCTCAGAAATATCAGGGTTTTGGTTTCCTCAGTGAATAAGACATTGGTTCTTAAGCTTTATATGAGAATAACCTGGAAAGCTTATTAAAACACATCTTTGAGTTCCACTCTCAGAATTAGATTCTATTACACTGCAGCTGAGAGGTTAGAGATGTCATTGGTGACTCCTTGATGCAAAAGATACTTGTTTTATATCAAAAAATATGAGATGAGGCTGAAGAACATACCTTTATTCACGTTCAAAGTGATAAAATACCTCCGTCAGGTACTTTAGGCAGTAAAATTGGGTGGGTCTATGTAGAATCAGTTATTCAAATATTTTGTACATATCAAACCATTTGCAGAAGGAAGTAAATGTTTTTGCATGAAAATATTTATACAAGATGCATCATATTTTGCATTCAGGGATTCTGAGTAAATTGTAGTGCCCTGGATGAATAATGTGATTTTGACTATGTTAAGGCAAAATTTAGCTATGTAAATGATACTAAAGGGTTTGGACTGCAAAATGGTAAGAGTCAGGGCAATGCATTGAGGTTGAAAATGAATGTTTAAGAATTTTGTAATGAAAAAATATTACTACTCTCAATTCCTTTTTGCTTCTAAGTTTAGGAACTGCTACTTTGATGAAGCGAGGGTAAATGGAAGGACTTTTCTTAGATTTTAATTCTTTCTGGTTTTTGGACCAGTGGGAAAGACTCTGTAAAGTGTACTACTGTTCCTCTGACTGTGAATCTCCTCTGCCCATACTTGAAGGCCAGAGCTCTCCATCATGCCAGTTCAATGGATTTCTTTCTATTGGTCTGAAAAATGAATCACCTTTCTTGTGGGAATGATACCACTGACAACAAAACTGTGATTATGAAATTACGCCTAGGTCTTATACCTAATTACTGTGTAATATACACATGATTTAAACACTGTTCCTCATTTTTTATTAAAATGGGTTATAAATATTTATATGTATAAATTTTCATGAATATATTTAGAAATAATGTGCAAAAAGTACAGCTATCTTAAGTTGTCTTTTTCTGTCTTAGGAAGACACTTCATTACTTTGAAGAACACCAAGAAGAGTACATTCCTCAGCTTCACCTCCTAATTTTTATGAGACAAGTATCATTTGCTCCAGAGAAAGTCTCCAGTGACACCTCTAACTAACCTCTCAGGGACAAACATTCAATAGACTCCCAAGATGATTTGTCTGTGTGTCTATACTGAGATCACAAAAAGGAATTGGAGAAACTGTGTTTGGATTGATGTTGGATAGTATTTACCTCTCCCCAAGCCAACTAGGCCCTCCCTTTTGGGTGGGTAACCACATCTTCACTCTTTCCGTACGCATAGGTTTGTGGAAAGAGAAGTAAACATGGAGGAGTTTGTAATGCGTATGAAACTGTTTTACTCAGAATCAGGAAGAAAAATTAACCACTTATTACATTGGTGCCCAAAAGCCATTAAAACAGCACCACATTTTTATGTTTCTAGTTATAAATAGAGTGCTAATTAAATCTTCAATAAAATCTGAACTCTAACTCGGAGTTCTCAAACACAATTATGATTTGATCCTCTCTGGCATTACCAAACTGCTACATCTTTAATGCTTCCAAAATATTTGGCATGACTCGTTTCTTCAATCAATATTTTTTAACACTCTTTTTCCTCTTTGGAACAACAGTAATTTATTTTTTATCTACTTTTGCATTACCATATTGTTGCCTATTTACACCTGCCTCACAGGCTTGTTCTAAACTCTCATAAGAGGACAAGTTTGTCAGGAATAATATATAGAATCTGTGATATCTAGCATATCACCTGCTTTAGTATAGAGTCAGGAGTCCAGGAACCACTCCACAAATTTTATGATTTTTTAAACCAAACATTCTGTTTTATAATCCACAATCAAGAACATTTATTATATTTGTATTAATAAAATTCCATTTATTTACCTCATGTAAACATGTATATTGAATATGATATGGGGCAACCTTCTCTTCTCCTTTTATCTCCACATTGATTTTCAATCGTATGGCTCCAGATACAGCTGACTTATCTGTCCTTTTCTCTGATAAAGCAAAAAAGCAATTGGTCAGTCATGTCTGACAATAACATCTTTATCCTCTGACCTCTCAAAAGCTTAAAAAAGAGGCTTAATTAGCTAAAAGCTATTTTTCTAAGTCAGATTTGATTATTAAGTAACCATAATGAGACCATACGTGGTAGCTCATGCCTGTAATCTCAGTGTCTTGGGAAGCCAAAGTGGAAGGATTACTTAATGTTAGGATTTTGAGGCAGCATAGGCAACGTAGCAAGATTTAGCCTCTACAATTTTTTAAAAATTAGACAGGTGTGTTGGTGCTTGCCTGAAGTCTGTCTTAACTAATTGGGAGGCTGAGGCAGGAGGATCTCTTGAACTCAGGAGTTTGAGGTTATACTAAGTTATGATTCCACTAGGGCACTTCACCCTAACAGAGTGAGACCCTGTCTCTATTAAAAACAACAACAACTATTCCCCTAAATATGATTTAAGGTATTTGCCTATTGTGTTGTGATTGTCAAACTGTCTCACAGATATTCCAAATAAAAAAACAAATCAGAAGGCCCTGCCATTCTCATATATATATTTCTGTGTGCTTATCAGTTTATACGATGAAATTGAATAAGTTACATGGCAATCAAAAGCAAGAAAACTGGAGTATAAAATTAAACAGGAAATTATTTTATCTGAAAGCTGTCACTGCTTGGTTTCTTCTCATTGTTTCTGTACTTGAAAAGATAAGCTGAAGTTCTGGTTAATAAAAAATGTTAATGGCTTTCATTGCCAGTGATTTATAAAGACCTACAGTCTATAGCCTAGGCTAACTTGTCAGTGTTGGACTGTTTCTTTGAATGGAAACAACGTATAGTCCAATTTGGGCACATAATGTGTGTATGTGTTAAGTATGAACCGATCAACAGCTTTGAGATAAATAAAGGTATAAACTTGTAGGCTGTGATTGCGGTGGGAGGGTCCTAAGTTCAACACCCATTTCAGATGCAAAATGCAGAAGCAATCTGACCCATTTCACAAATGAAAATAGGATTTAGGTAAGTGACACAAAGTCAGTGCAGAGGACTTTAAATTGACCCTCTTTGTAAACCTGACTGAATTTTTAGCCATATAAGGTAGAGTTAAATCATGAAGGCTACTTCTCTCTTAAGGGATGCCTGCTGACTTTTCACTGTTCTTCTTTAATAGTCATTTGTATTGCAAATCTTTTTTTTTTTTTTTAAACAAGGTCCTACTGTGTCACCTAGGCTGGGGTGCAGTGGCATAATCTTTTAGTTCACTGCAGCCTCAGTGTCTTGGCCTCAAGTGATCCTCCTGCCTCAGCCACTAGAGTAGGTGGGAAAACAGGCACATGATACAATGCATGGCTAATATATATATATATATTTTTTGAGACGGAGTTTCACTCATGTTACCCAGGCTGGAGTGCAATGGCGCGATCTCGGCTCACCGCAACCTCCGCCTCCTGGGTTCAGGCAATTCTCCTGCCTCAGCCTCCTGAGTAGCTGGGATTACAGGCACGCACCACCATGCCCAGCTAATGTTTTCGTATTTTTAGTAGAGATGGGGTTTCACCATGTTGACCAGGATGGTCTCGATCTCTTGACCTCGTGATCCACCCGCCTCGGCCTCCCAAAGTGCTGGGATTACAGGCTTGAGCCACTGCGCCTGGCCAATATTTTTAAAATTATTTTTAGAGATGGGTCTCACTATGTTGTCCAGTCTGAACTCAAGCTCCTAGCTTTAAGGAATCCCCCCTCCTCGGTTTCCCAAAATGTTGGGATTACAGGTGTGAGCCATTGTGCCATGCACTCATGTATGTTTTGCTAAAAGAACAAATTGGAGAAATATCTGTTCTGAATTACAACTTTACTGCCTCACACATACAGCCAATATCATACTGAATGGGCAAAAACTGGAAGAATTCCCTTTGAAATTAGGCACTAGAAAAAGATGCCCTCTCTCACCACTCCTATTCAATATAGTATTGGAAGTTCTAGCCAGAGCAATCAGGCAAGAAAAAGAAGTAAAGGGTATTCAATTAGGAAAGGAGGAAGTCAAACTGTCTCTATTTGCAGACCACATGATTGTATATCTAGAAGACCCCATCATCTCAGCCCGAAATCTTCTTAAACTGATAAGCAACTTCAGCAAAGTCTCAGGATACAAAATCAATGTGCAGAAATCCCAAGTATTCCTATATACCAATAATAGACAAACAGAGAGCCAAATCAAGGGCGAACTCCCATTCACAATTGCTAAAAAGAGAATAGAATACCTAGGAATACAACTAACAAAGGATGTAAAGGACCTCTTCAAGGAGAACTACAAACCACTGCTCAATGAAATAATGGAGGACACAAACAGATGGAAAAACATTATGCTCATGGTTACGAAGAATCAATATTGTGAAAATGGCCATACTGCCCAAAGTAATTTATAGATTCAACACTATCCCCATCAAGCTACCAATGACCTTCTTGACAGAAATGGAAAAAAGCACTTTAAACTTCATATGGAATCACAAGAGAGCCCCCATAGCCAAGACAACCTTAAGCAAAAAGGACAAAGCCAGAGGCATCACACTGCTGGATATCAAACTATACTACAAGGCTACAGTAATCGAAACAGCATGGTACTGGTACCAAAACAGAGACATAGACCAATGGAACAGAACACAGGCCTCAGAAGTAATACCACACATGTATAACAATCTGGTTTTTGAAAAACCTGACAAAAACAAGCAATAGGGAAAGGATTCCCTGTTTAATAAATGGTGTTGGGAAAACTGGCTAGCAATGTGCAGAAAGCAGAAACTGGACTCCTTCCTGTCACCTTACACTAAAATTAACTCGAGATGGATTAAAGATTTAAACATAAGACCTAACACCATAAAAACTTTGGAAGAAAACCTAGGCAAAACCATCCAGGACATAGATATAGGCAAGGACTTCATGACTAAAACACCAAAAGCAATGGCAACAAAAGCCAAGAGAGGCAAATGGGATCTAATTAAAATTCAGAGCTTCTGTACAGCAAAAGAAACAATCATTAGAGTGAACCAACAACCAACAGGATGGGAAAAAATTTCTGCAGTCTACCCATCCGACAAAGGGCTAATATCTAGAATCTATAAATAACTAAAACAGATATAGAAGAAGAAAACAACCCCATTCAAAAGTGGGCGAAGGATAAGAACAGACACTTTTCAAAAGACATACATGAGGCCAACAAACATATGAAAAAATGCTCATTATCACTGGTCAATAGAGAAATGAAATCAAAACCACATTGATATACCATCTCATGCCAGCTAGAATGGCAAACATTAAAAAATCAGGAGACAACAGATGCTGGAGAGGATGTGGAGAAATAGGAACATTTCTACACTGTTGGTGGGAGTGTAAAGTAGTTCAACCATTGTGGAAGACAGTGTGGTAATTTCTCAAGGATCTAGAAATAGAAATTCCATATGACCCATTAATCCCATTACTGGGTATATACCCAAAGAACTATAAATCGTTCTACTATAAAGACACATGCACACGTATGTTCATTGCAGCCCTGTGTACAATAGCAGAGACCTGGAACCAATCCAAATGCCCATCAATGATAGACTGGACAAAGAAAATGTGGCACATAATACACCATGTAGTACTTCACGGCCATAAAAAACGATGAGTTCATGTCCTTTGTAGGGACTTGAATGAACCTGGAAACCATCATTCTCAGCAAACTGACACAAGAACAGAAAACCAAACATAACATGTTCTCACTCATAGGTGGGTATTGAACAATGAGAACACATGGACTCAGGCAGAGGAGCATCACATACTGGCAGTTGGTGGGGGGGATACAGGAGGGACAGTGGGGGGTGGGGAGGGATAACATGGGGAGAAATGCCGGATATAGTCAAAGGGGGAATAGAGGCAGCGAACCACCTGGTTATGTATGACCTGCACATGTACCCCAGAACCTAAAGTAAAATAAAAATAAAAATAAAAAAGAATATGTTAATTTACTACATAAAAAAAGTCCATGTAAAGATAAACCTCTTCATAAAGAAAAAATTTGTGAATGTTCCACAGAGTTAATAACCTAAAATTTATCCTCAGTTAGTATCTCTATTTTTATATATAACATTATTTAACAGTTAAAACAAGCTTTGTGGTTCGGCTCATTATAGCAGAGGTAAAAATTCTACTCCAATAACATAAGAGTACCAGTCTTCTTTAAGGAAGATTTCTTAAAATAGTTTTCATAGTTAGTTCTTAGTTTAAATTTAGTCATCTGTATTTAGATGAATATCTCTCTTTCTTTGAATTATTCTATAATCTAGAGTTTCATGAATTTTATATGATCTTCTCCCTTTACTTTGTCAATCTTTTTATTGCTAAAAGTATACAGACTTTTTTACAAAACAAAAAGCACTTTTTAATTTGTTAACATATATTAGTATCCTACATGGAAACTTTGTAACCCAAGGAATGTGTCAATTCTTTGATTCACAATCAGCCAGCCCTCAAAAGTTTAATTAAAACATTTTAGAGGATATGAGTAAAAAATCTTCAGATGGTGCCTTTGCAGAAACTGAGGTGACCCATATATTTTTACTACTATTAAATCACCATTGAAAATTCTATGTTATTATTCAATTCTCATAAAAGTCAAATTAAAACTTACCATTATTTCTGGTTCCATAATAATTTTTTGAAATCATTCCAATTAATCACATTCTCTGTATCTTCATCATGAGAGTCGGCATGAATTCACATATTTACTTGGCTTTGTCAACTAAAGCCTACTTTTATATCATCACTTGAAAGAAATCTGAAGTACCTTTTTCCTTCATTGCCAAAATTTCATTAATGGATGAGAAGGAAATAAGTCAAACAGCACTAAGTCATAGGTTGATTATTTATTTCCCATGTATTTTGCAAAGCTTTGTGAAGCTGTATTTTATAATTTAAAAATTAAGAATGAAATGACATTTTTCTCTAAAAGACTTCAAGGTAGTTCTTGGAAAGGATTTTCTCCTTTCATCTAAATTTACCAAAGTCTTTCAATAGTATTGAAAAAAGACTAGCCTTTTCTTGTCAATGAAATGAATCATCTAAAGTTCAACAGAATGTCCTGGAAAGGCAATGGTTATTTTTACTTATATGGGAATATAATACATGCCACAGGTATTCAGGGGTTTTATTCAACTTGTTTTCAAGTAGATAAGAAAATAATCACCTAAGTTGTACCAGACATCCATTTCTCCACTCAAGGTCCTCACTTCTACAATCGTTTGTCCCAGAAAATCATCTGACTCCTTTTTGAAATGTTGCTTGACTCTGGATTTAATATCATCATCTTCATCCCATACTCTGACTTTGATTCGATCTGTGGAGTTATGACACTCACTGAAAATAAATGTGGATAAGTTAACAACCATTGAAAGCTGCTCTAAATGGCATCTGATGTTAGTAATTTAACTCTAATCTAGAAAGGCATAATATACCACATAATAAATGATATTTCTCACTAATCCATTTCATCTATCCATGGGATATTGCAGGCACGTAAGGCAAATATACTGAAGAAAAATTAAATAATGTTAATAAGGGAAAATCGAATCCCATTCCATCCTATTTCCTTTAACTGAATTAGACATTATCAAATACGAGCCAGAAATCTTTGGTTGGAATATTTTCACTTATGCCATATTTCCTATCAGCCATAGCTGTCTTGAACAACTTATCCATGCTCAGAAAATTCTTCACCATAAAAATAAAGCTAATTTTATTGCAATGGGTGTTGAGAATGTGGGCTTCACAGACCACAAAGTGACAATAATAGTTTTGTGAAGGACTTGAAAAACGAAAAAT